GAAAGATTAAAGTTGCATGAATGAAAGTACTCATTGGCTTCTGACATGAAGTTAATCAACATATTGCTAGGAATTTCGGTGTGTTTGTTTTAAATAATTTTGAGATAATAAGACATATTATGGTAAAAACTATATTAGGAAAAGGTTTTTTTTACCCTACAATATATTTATAAATTGAATTATAATATAAAATTTTAGGCTCATAGAGAAAAGTATGCTTGTGCATGATGTGAAGGTTCTTCAGAATTATTTTCTGGAGATTTAAGAACATTTCAATCTTTGAATAATTACTATGAACTGTATTCATCTGCAGGATCTCCGGTGAAAAGATTGAAAGAATATAAGGTATAAATGAATAAATATATTGTAAATATTTTCAAAATTTATCATCCATTATAATTTTATCATTTTAAAAAGGATAAAAAAAATTTATTTCCATATATTTAGAATGTCATTAATCCTTGTCTGCTTAAGATAGAAGACAAATCCCTAAGTATAATAAGAAAGATTCCATTACCAGGACTTCACCTTCTGATGGAATTTGTTAACCATGTGGCAGAATTTAAAATGCAACTTTGGCCTGGATTTATAGATTGGGTCAAGAGCATTGGATGCCTTCGAAAAGGTTACCATGGAGGAACATTTGAAGGAAACACGTGTAGAGAGATACTTAAAAGTTGCGACAAACTTAAGTTGATAATGCCTGTTGAACTGTATCCTCTCTTAGAAACAATGAGAAAATTTAATAAGGTTGTTCATAGTGTCTTTGGCTATAAACTTGACCCAAACTATTCAATTTTAATTGAAAGTTTTACACAAAGCTATAAGGATGCGCAAGACTATTGCAGAGAGGTAATTGCTGTTTTCTTTACCCTTTGTATTTAAAACCAAGTTATTGATAAACATATTTATAGTAAGCTTTTTTAGTTTTTAGGTAAACAGCTTAAGCTTACTTGGAAAGTACATGCTGTAACAGCACATCTGGAAATATTTGTTGATTTGAGTGGCCTTTTCCTTGGGTAGTTTAATGAGCAGACATCTGAATCTTGCCATTCCAAGATGAAAAGTGTAATAAACAGGTTTGGAGTCTCGCAGTACAGCAACAAACATAAAGAAAGAAGCAAAAGAATTGCTGAAGTGTTCAGTTCAAATAATTTATAAGTTATTGAACATTAATTGTACATCAAAACATAAACATTATTGAAATCTTAAGTTAAAAATATTTGTAAATTTATTCAAAAAGACATTAAAAATATATTAGTATAAACAGTTTTTGGAATATTTTATTTAGTATATATTACTATTATTTATATATATTAGATTATTAGGCAACTATGCATACAATACTAATATTTTACTAAATTACTTATCAATATGTTCTACTTTACAAAGCATACTATGTTCCTAATATAATTCAAGCATATCTAAACCTTTTTCACCAACTTAGATATATCTAAGAGCTAACTAATGAATTTGATGTGTAAATACAAAATTTAAGAGCATAAAAACTTGGAATATAAAGTTATTTTATGTTAATTTTACTGTTCCGTCAATATATTTAGTTTTTTTAAGTACGAAAATAATGACTTTTTAAGCAGATTTTCTATGTCAATTTTCTAAAAATGTGATACCTCCCAGATTTTTTAAAATATGAAAATGAAGTGTCCAGATGTCCCACTTACTATATTTGTTAACATTTTTGGGGTACTTGGATAGTAAACTTAAACCTTAAATTTCTGACCTGTGCTTAATGAACATTGCCACCGGGAAATAATATAATCCTAGCAAGTTAGGACAATGCTTTGCGCTGACTGGCCACTACCTGGAAAGGTTCGCTATTCCATTTAAGCAAACAGTTTCGTGTAAAAAACAATTTCATTTGTAATTAAACTTCTCTTTTCCACATCTTGATTTGTATGAATATTTTCTGAAGAGATTACCTCAAAGCATATCCAGAAAATGTTGTGTGACATCAGAGCAAAGAATTTTGCAAATCTTAACCAGATTTCTTGTTAAGAATCTTAGTAAGATTTATATGTCTTGCAAGACGTGCAAAAAAACTAATAAGATCTTATTAGGATTTGAAAGTTTTTGTACAATTTTTTAGTAAGATTTGTAAGAATTGAAAATCTTAATAAAATTAGTTAGTTAGACTTTGATTTTTTAGTAAGATTTTTAAGTTATAATATTTGTAGTTATAGTATGACTTCTAAGTAAGATTTGTAAGAGAATAGAGATCTTATCAGATTGATTATTTTGTAATTAATGCAACTCTACCAAATTTCCACTCAAATTTTTTGCGCAGAGATTGAACGCTAATTAACTAAAACAGTTAAGTACTTTAGTTATAATTTGTCAAATAATTTATATTTATTAAAATAACATCTCATCTAACTTTACTAATAAACATTATATGTAAGTGTGTTATTTATATATATTTATATATATATATATATATATATATATATATATATATATATATATATATATATATATATATATATATATATATATATATATATATATATATATATATATATATATATTTAAAATAACGGAACGAGGAAGGAGAACGAATTCTTTATTTGGAAGAACGTAAACGAAAAGTACATTTTAAATTTGGGTTTCGTTAAAGTTGTTTTTAACGAAACCAAAAATGTATTTAGGAACTAAATACATTTTAAATTTGGGTTTCGTTAAAAACAACTTTAACATTTTTAATCTAAGTTTGGTTTCAGTTATCCAACAGCTGTAACTTATTTTCAAACGATTGCACATTAACAAGGCCAAAAGTATTGAGACCAAGGCCAAGGCCGAGGCCATGCGTTTCAAGGCCAAGAACAACGATAAGGCCAAGAGTTTAAGGTCAAGGCCAAGATAAGGAGCTTCAGGACCAAGGCCTACGCAAACATTTTCAAGACCGAAGACTTCAAGTTTTGTCTTACATTAAGGCCAATTTTTAACACAACTGTAAGTAGCTTGCTACTTACAGTTTTTGACAATAAAGCCATATTTTGTAAAAATAGACCTAGGTTATGAGCAGAATTCAACAAAAGCAATAAGAAAATATGTACTTTTTTTAAGGCCAAGGCCAAAACAATCAAGGCCAAGGCCAAAATTTTCAAACCCAAGCATAACAGTTTCAAGGCCAAGACCAAGGCCTAGGCCTCATTTTTCGGCCTAAAGACAAGGCCAAATTCAAACACAAGGCCAAGGACTAACAACTCTGACCGATTGTTGGTTAGTTTAGAATTATTTCGTATTTAGTTGGCCATACATTTTAGTATTTAGTTCATATTGATTACCAATATAGTTTAAAAGTTAGTACATGTAGCCAACTAAATACAACCAACTAATTTTTAACATAATTTTATTTCACGCGGTTCTAGTTTGCAAAATGCATCCAATTATTGAAACTGATGACTTTGCAGTTATTAAAAATGTTAGTGAAATAAGATTATTGAAATTAATATATCATTTATATGTATATTAAGTAAATGCTGATGCAGACTGCAGAATACCAGAAATGTTTAAAAACTATTTAAATATATAATTAAATAAAACACGTTAAAAAAGCATTGCTCGCCAAGCGAAACAGTAAATTACTATAACAATTTTAAAAAGAAAAAATATGCATTAAAAAAGTAATGAAGTAGAAACGATTTCTATTTTTTGAGGAACGTTGAGCCAGTTCCTTTTTTTGACTAAAGAACGAGGAACTGGAACTAGTTCTTATTTTACAAAATGAACGGAGAACGGAACCATATATATATATATATATATATATATATATATATATATATATATATATATATATATATATATATATATATATATATATATATATATATATATATATATATATATATATATATATATATATATATATATATATATATATATATATATATATATATATATATATATATGTGTGTGTGTGTGTGTGTAAAAAAAAAACTTGAATTTATATTATTTAGTAAAAAGTTGTAATTGTAACTTTAAAAAACTATTACGATTTTTTTTAGTTGTTATTGAAATTCAATAAAAATCTATAACTTACACTCCAGTAATATTGTTTTTGAAAAGATGTATATAATCTTAGACAATTTACAGTATTTGTCTTTGCAAATATCTAAAAATAACAAAAAGGGCCAAGAGGGCATTGGGGCGCCAGTGAAACTTTAGCCTATGACTCCAAATTGTTAAATTGGTCTCTGATAACGCCCCAATATGGTTGGCTCCCAAAAAGAAAAAACTTTTTTTTGGTTTGAATTTTTTATTTTGCTCGCTGTGTTTTAACTCATCCATAAAAATTAGTTTTAAAACGTTGATCAGTAAAAGAGGCAGCCATATAAAGGTCATTTTCATTAAAGTTAAAGTTATGTTTTAAGTTTAGGTTGTAGTAAAGATCTTATTTTTAATAAATTTTCAGTTATTTGTGCTATATCCAGTTATTTGTGCTATATCCAGATACTTTAACAATGTAATAAACATAACAGTACTTCAGAAATTCAAGATATACTAGAGCTGGTTGTTTTTGTAACTTTTTTAAATGGTTTGAAGAGTATAATACATTTGTTCATAACTATATTTAAAACAATTTAATGTAACAATCAACAAAATAATCAAACAAAAAATATGCCGAGACACAACCTACTCGCAAATGAAAAAAATACGCTCATAGCGTAGTTAACACGTGCAATTCAATGAAGCAGGTTGGAACACTCAAAATTCCATAATAAGTGTCAAATTAAAATAACAAGCGTCATTGAATATTCGGTATTCGACCAAAATTACTACTCGTATCTCTACAAATACTATTATAAATCAGTTGCATTTATCGCGGTGAATTATTTTGCATTCTTGCAAACGAATAATCGTTTTCTAAGTATTACGAAACACTATTGAAACAAACACGGTTTCAGTTGGTTGAACATATACAGCTAAACATACGCATGTTGTACTTTCTAAACAAGTTTGATTGATCAAACTTCTATAAACTCAAAATAAATTTCTATTCCTGGTGGTATGATCTTATATTCTTAAGATATAAAAGTGACTTTAAATTGTTCATACATCATACATACATTTTTCATACATAGTACTTCCTGGAAGAGCTGTTAAAGGTAAAAAAAAATTTATACATCAAAAATTAAATTTTATTTCTTTCTTTTTTATTTTTTCTATATATTTTTACAACAACATAGTATTAACAAGTTTTAACAATATATAATATTAGTATAACTTATTCATTCAAAGATACTTCTAATAAAGTGACATTAAAATACTTTTGAAATATATTTGAAGTTTAAAGAAAACAAAAGTATTATTAAAATTTTTATCGTGAAAAATCACAATAAAGAAAATCTTTATTTATTTAGTCGTGAGGGAGTCGTAGAAAACTCTTTTTATCGTAGAAAACTGTGCAAAGTCATCGAGAACCCTTTTTAAATTCATAAAATACTTATATTTTTTGATTCATGATTGGCTATATTTTTCAATATAGTTAGTAATGTTAAGAACATAAAAGAAGATATATATATATATATATATATATATATATATATATATATATATATATATATATATATATATATATATATATATATATATATATATATATATATATACATATATATATTTATGGAGCTTGTATTTTTTATAAGAGATATTGAGGTATTTTTTGGAATTATTTTATTATGCACGTAAATATCACAGTTCTTAAATATTTTTTTTGGTTAAGCCGAAAATTTGGTTCTAGTTTCGGTAAAATATACGCTGAGATGTCGGTTTCGGCTGTGTATTGGTTTAACCGTAATTTCAGTTCATTGTGGTTTCAGCATAATTTCTGTTTTGGTCCATCACTACTCACAATGGATTATTTGAGTGATACTTCTAATTTGATTAAATATTGTTATTGCGTAGTGGGAATATCACGTCAAAAATTTGACACGTGGAAAGGCATTTTTAGACTGGGAGTGAAACAAATAGAGTAATATCTTTACTTAGATAATTTTTTAAAGATTAAAAAGATGTTTTAAGAGCGATTTAAGTACTGCCCACCTAGGAGTGAGTCTGGAAAGTCTGACTAACCTATGAATGAGTCTGGCCATTCTATTAGAAAATCTGGTCAATCTATGAGTGAATCTGGCCAGTCTATGAGTGAGTATTTGTGGCATATAGTTTTGATTATTTTATTTTAAAACTAATAGATGAAGACATTTTAGTTTATTTTTTGTTTGCATTATAAGATGCTTATACTATAAAATAAATCTAAAGACGTCACGTGATTTAAAAGACGTGGTTCAAAAAGCAAAAAATTTTTAGATTTTGTTTATAAAGTCTAACTTATAAAACACCTTTCAAAATTTTGACAACAAATGTTAAAAATAATTGTACATCTTGTTTTAATTCTTACACAACTTTCCGGCGGAGTGAGACATATATCTATTTTAGAGCATTTTCTTTTTCTATTGAATAGATTTGAGTAACTTTGTATTTCTGACAAGGAAATAAAAAATAAACATCAGCCATCCCAAAACAGGCTTTGTCCTAAGCTAGAAAATATGGTGTATGCAGAAAATCAGCTAAATGTTAACACAAATTTGTACAATGAATTGAGATGTTTGAATGGTGGTAGATCACTATTAAAAATCAAAAAAATGGTTTTTTTAATTATAATTTGTTTAAGTAATAAAATTATAGTTGATTAAGAATTTCGATTTTATTTTATGAAAAAAATAGGCTAACCTCTTAAAAAATTACTTTTCCATAAAGCGGTAATAGCTGTTGGTTTTTTTTTTCCATAGCAACCCTTTTTTTTCCCGTTGATATGTACCTAAAACTAAACTTATACGACAAAGTTCCAGTAAAACTTATGAACATATGTCGATTGTTACTCTAGAACTACTTTTTGTTTATTAATTGATGCTTTTATTGCATTTGGTGACATGGTTTTCAACGGATTTTCCAGTATCAAGCACATTTGTTTTATTACTTTCATATTCTATCATTTTATTTTAAATACAAAATAAATAATGGGAAATAAAGATATAAGAAATAAAATAAGATGTAATAAGAAACGTAGACTCTTTAGAGGAAACCTTTATCAATTAAAAAACGTTACAGGTGAAGAAAATGTATCTAATTTTGAACCAAAATTTGAATGCAGCTCAGCAAAAAAGTTGAACATGTTTATGTTTAAAGAAGATTTACATGTACATGTAAATCTTCTTTAAATGTTGTAAATAATGATAGTAATTCTGCTCAGCATGAACAGTCCAATGCTAAAAATGACTGCTACATTTTCATTAACACCAACATATTAACTGAAATTGTTATTACCATCGGCCGCTTTCCAAAGATTTCTGGAAATGTATCCTTTTATCATGATGCTAAAAATTAAAAAGGTTTATCACACCGAATACATTTTTTGTGTCTATTTTCCAACTGGGAGCAAAAGTTTTATTCCAGCAAAACTATAGACAAACCAGCAACAGTGGGTCCAAAAACATTTCGATATTAACTTACGAGCGATAATAGCTTTTTGAGAAATAGGTAAAGGATACTCTGTTATAGAAAAGTTTTGTAGTTTAACATGCCCAATCCTATGAACAAATCTTCTTTTAACTCTTTCTGCATAGAAATTACCTATTGTTACAATTACATTGTTGAAGATAGCTTGAATATTGCAGCTGAAGAAATATGGAAAATAAGTTTGAAAAAAATCTACGATGAGCATACAGTAGTCAACGAGGACATCTCAGGTAATGGGGCCTGCTAAAAAAGAGTTTATTCTTTACTTAATGGATTTGTAACTATTATTAACAAAACAAATGGAAAGTGTATTGATTATCGCATACTATCTAAAAAGTGCAAATCTTGTGAGTGTTGGAATACACGCAAGGGTTCATCAAAATACCTAATGTTTAAAGATGAGCATGTATGTTCAATTAATTACCAAGGATCATATGGATCAAAAGATCAGATGAAAGCAAAAGATCAGATCAGATGGAAGCAAAAGGTCAGATCAGATGGAAGCAAAAGGTATTGTTGAATGCTTTCATTCCTTTATTGAAGCAAAAAAATTAAGGTATCTTCAATACATTGGTAATGGTGATTCTTCCTCATATCCAGCCATATTCAATGCTAATCCCTATCCAGGACATACAGTGTAAAAATGTGAATGTATAGGTCGTGTCTAGAAACGTATGGATACAAGACTAAGAAAATGGAAAAAATGTTCTATAAAAGATGGTCTAGAAGATAAAAAGTCACTTGGTGGTAAAGGTAGGCTAACTGAAAAAGAAATAAACAAAATTCAAAATTACTACGGCATTGTAATTCGCCAAAACATTGATAATTTTTATCAGATGCGAAAAAATATATTAGCAGTCTTGCATCACTTATGTGTAGCAGATTTATCTAATGCTAGACATGTTCTTTGTCCACAAAATCAAAGTTTCATGGTGTAAATATCAAAGGTTCAAGCTGCAAAATAAAGAATATGAAAAAAAAAAACAGGTTTACCTATTGCTATAAAAGCTTTTATCAAGCCATTGTTTAACGATTTAATATCAGTAGACCTTCTTTCTAAATGTCTCCATGGATCAACTTTCTTAATGTCTCTATGGATCAACTTTCTAATTGTCTCCATGGATCAACTCAAAATGAGTCTTTAAATGCTTAATGAGTCTTTAAATGCTTTGATTTGAAAACGTTATCCTAAAGATGTTTGTGTTGGAATTGGCATATTAAATTTAGGCTGTTGTTTTGCCATCATTAATTTCAATGATAGGTTTATTGGTATCAATAGAATTTTTTCAATAGAAAAACTTTATTTAAAAACCAGGACATTATTGTTCAGTTTTTTTAGCATCTTTTGATTTAAAAAGAATAAAAAATATGGAGAAAAAATAAGGTGAAAAGCAAAAAGAGACGAAAGCAACTACGAAGTATTTGTAAAGGATTTTTAGACATAAAGGAGAGTGAGCTATGGAATTAAGCTATGGTGCTGGAGAATTTTAGTTTAAGATACTTTATATTTATTTAATAGAAGCTTATTTATTTACTATTTACTTAAAATTGATTAAAGTTTTAGATTAAAACTAAATCAAAATAAAAGAAAGATTTTCTTTTTTTTTTTAAACTTACTTTGGTAAAATTATTTTGTCTAATAATATTATTACTTTGATTTTTGTAAATTTTACTCCAAAACATTTTTATAATAAGATAACATTTGTCAACAGGCTTTTTAAGTGAGTTTTTTATATTAATCTGAAGAATTTTACGCTTTTTTTTGTTTAAATGTGTTTTTCTCAGTTCTTTCAAATTCAAGATTTTGGGGTGATTATCTCATACTTTTGTTGACCAATTTTTATAAAATTTTCAGGAGTTGTTCCTTTTGTTGTCATGGATCTTCCCTGCTACTTTTATTACATTGTGATGGTCAGAAAAAAGATTTGAATGTTCAAATATGGTCAAAAACACCTTTTTTATTAAGGAGTTTTTTGTTTAAAAAAAAAATCTGTGGATTTTTTTTTTTATTCTATTACAGGATCTGCATAATTATATTATAGTAAGTTTAAAAAAAATTTCAGGTCGAATAAAAAAAAATTTCAGGTCGAATAAAAAAAAATTTGGTCCTATCAAAAACATTTGATGGGACCAAAGTTCCCAAACCATAAAATTAAAAATAATAATTTTGTCATTAAAATGTAAACTCTAATCATTTCATAAGTAAATAAATGCTAAAATGTAGTTTTTGAAAGGTTTCAGTCTACCACCTTAAAAGTTTTTTAAAACTTTGTTACGAGCATTTTTAAACTTATAGTAATCAGTATTAGCAAAAGTTTTAAATCAAATCCGAATCTTAGTACAACTAACCAGAGTATAAACTCCTTTTCGTGTGTTGGCCCTCACGTGGAAACAGTTAAACCTTTTTTTTTTTACAAAATGTTTAAAACATTTTTATAAAAACTTTTAAAATTGTTTATGTTCAAAAAAGTTTCTTATATCCTATTTATATTTTAGCAAGAAGGTGTAATAGCTTAGCTGGAGAGAGAACGAAGCCGAAAATAGATTTAAATCGCGTTAGAGTCTTTGTAGTATACTTATTCCAATAGCAAATCAAAATGTTTTGCAAAAAAATTAAACATTTTGAAATGTAATCAGCAAGTTTTGAGATATAAAATCGAATTTGATTAATAAAATTAAAGTTTGTTGGATATGTTTTTAACAACTATTCGATCAATCCAGAATTTGATTAAAACAAAAATCACGATTAAGATGAAGTAATTGTATATCAAAGTTTTAGACAATCTCTACAACCTATTTGAACCTTATTTTTTGCGTGTCTGTTCAGCTATAGGTTAGTTACGATCTTTAAGATTGTTCTTTCGGCCAGGAACTTATTAAATCCCTCCAGGATTTTATTTTGCGTTGGTGTATTTTTGCTAAATTAAAAAGCAAAGTGCTTTATTCTAAATATAAAACACATAGCAAAAATACTACCAACTCTTATCTACACATTTATTAATTCAATTCTAATCTAGAAATTTATTATTAGTCGTTTAAAAAGCACAACAAAAAAATAACAACAAACTGACTTTAAATATTGTTTAAAATTTTTTTAAACTTCTTTTTTTATTTGCAATCTCTCAATTGCTTTTGAAATTATATCATTTTGAAACAATATCATTGGATAGCTTTTGTTAAAAGTGGAATGTGATTGGTTAACTTTATATTAAGATAATTTTGCGGTAATTTTTTTTTTTTTTAAAAAAGTTGATTAAGGTGCCCCAAGAAGTCCTTACGGTCATATCACAGAGCACCGCGGAAGAGCATTTAATAGGAAGTTCACGCCTCCTTCCAAACCGATGTCGCAAACTTGCCCAGAGGTGGGGTTTGAACCACGGATCTTACATTTGTGAGGCAAGTGCACTACCACTGCGCCACGGCTGCTCATATGCTTAATTGAAAATTATGTTACTATTAAGACTGTTTTTTGAGAAACGACGTACTTTAACTTCGTTCTCCCTCCAGCAACGTCATTATAACTCCTTGATTTTAGTGAGTTTGAATTTTGATTTCTTTAAATCATTCCAAGTATTCACAGGTAGTTTTTATAAAAATATACAGACTTCTTTGAAGTTTCCTGAAGTTTATTTAGTATTGCTCTTAACCTCTGTCTTAAAAACATACACGGTGTTTAAAAAACACCTTACACTGTACTTACTTCAACACCTTACACCTTACACTGTACTCACTGTAAACACCTTATACTTACGCCTTAAAAAAAAATTAAATTAATCAACTTAATTATTTTATAAATTATATTAGGACTGCAATGAAACTGTTTACTTTGGTTGTGTTGACCGTTGCTACGTTTGCTGTTAATTGTCGGCGTAGCAATGTTAAAGAAAAGAAAGTTACAATACCGTCCCTATCAGATATCATGACTAAGTTTAAACCAGAATTTGAAACAAAAAAAAAAGCGTGTGAAAAAAAAAAGAAATCTAATGAGGTATGTCTTTTTATCATTTTAAGTAATTATTTTATCTTTTTAAGTTTTTATCATTTTTAAGTCATTGTTCAAGAAACAACCCTTTTCAGATTTGACTAACCAAACATTTTCATAAATAAAAATCGAAAAGAGTATCGTTCGTAATTAGAATATATTACCCCTAATGAGGCTTAGAAATATTTGGCAATTGCATTTAATATCCTAAAAAATATAATAGCTTGTTTTTTTTTTATCAATAAAACTTACTTAACGTCCTCAAAGTCTTTCTTTGGATTATCCTTATTTTACTTACACGTAGTCGTCTTCTTTTTATTTCCCGTCTTTTCATTGCAGCAAGTAGTTTTTAGTTCTTCATTTATACAGTATCGGACAAAACAAGTGCAACCAAATAATGCTAATTTAGTTTCTTTATATAAAAGTGCTGCATTTTTTCAATTTAGAGAAATAACTATGTAACTGTTTAGAGACAACGTTCTTCAAGTTTTATTCATCACAAAGTTCATTATTTGTACACAAAAATAATAAATTAATCAAAAGATTTAAAAAACTTGATGTCTTTCTGGACAAAACAAGTGCAACTCCACAAAATGTTGACCAAGCTGTATTTCGCTATTAATATTTTGCAGCGAATCTTTTGTTGTCGATCACAGCCTTGTATCGAGGCATAGATTCGATCAGGTGATCAAAGAAACTTTGTAGAATCGCTGCCCAGGCAGTTCAAACAGTTGATCCTTATTACGAACACCTTCAGAATTAATTCTGCGGTTGACAATCTCCCACAAGTTCTCGAATCGAAATCCGGAGATTGAGGCGGCCAATCCATCACCGATAGGTGGTTGTCTTGAAACCACTGCTTGACTACTTTTGCAGTGTGTTTTGGATTGTTGTCTTGCTGAAAAACCCATTTTATTGGCATATTCCATTCAGCATGAGGTAACATAACATCTTTCAGCATAATTCTATTCATGAAACGGTCCATTATTCTATCGATTCGATGTATTGGACCTAGTCCGTTGAAGAAAAACACCCTCAGACCATTAAATTGTCTCCACCATGCTTCACGGTCTTATGGCAGTAACGTAAATTGTGGCGTTTTCCGGCTGGTCGACGTACACGGCAAATGCCATTGCTACCAATGATGTTGAACTTTGATTCATCACTGAACACGACAGTTCGCCATTTTTGCACATTCCAGTCAATATGAGATGTAGCAAACAGGAGTCGTTTTTTCTGGCACTCTAGTGAAATCAGTGGTTTCTTTGCAGGGCGTCGAGAAAACAATCCGGCTTCAAAAGCACGTTGTCTGATTGTTTGGTCCGATCCAGGCAGCTCTAATTTCTTTTGTATCTCAACTGATGATATTCAGGGATCCTTCTTTTTTCACGCGATATTTATCACAAATACTTTTTTGTGACATTCCACTTATGTAATCGCCAATAAATTTGTTTCTTAGTTTCAATCCAAGAATGTCGGGAGCCATTTTTGCAATTGAAGTCATAAAAATAATAAAAATAAATAATCACGCTTCTCAAGGCTTACCGTGTTACATTTACCTTGTGATAATACAATAATACTCTGTGAAACACAACGTATTGGTTGGATGTAAACTGTATTGATGCAATGAAACACTTGTTGTATTTCACTTCTTGTATTAATGTTCTTCGATAAAACACTTTGATAAAACTCACTTCGATAAACTGTCTTGATAATACTGACTGATTGAATTACATGTCGGTTTACATGTGTCTTATATAGTAAAATGAACCTGTGTGAACATGCTCTGGAAGATTCTAGATGTTTCTTTTCGATGCTTCTGGAAGTTTCTGGATGCTTTTGGATGCTTCTGAATGTTTCTGGATACTTCTGGAAACTTCTGGATACTTCCTTTAACTATTTAAAAACTTCCGTGACGTTAACACGGACCAGATTTAAGAAAATGAAACAAACCAAAAAAGCTGCACTTGTTTTGTCCGCTGCAAAATGGCACTTGTCAACAAAATTCTGCCTGTGTGATGTCACCTGTCAGCTGATTGCTCATGTCATGGCATGCTATGACTCCAGACTCCTGAACTGTTTGCTGTGGTAGTATACTTCGTTTGTTTTTAAAATTAGAAACACTTTGTAGCATTGTTCGATGTTGGTTGTAAATATTTTGTTCAATACGGTATATAAATATTTAACATGTGTTATGTGTTATGTTTGCTTGCACAATTAAAAAACAAATAAATCATTTACTTAGGTGCCAAGTGGTAAAATTGATTCGCCTCTTCAAGCATACGGTTACCCTGACTTTGATGAAAATACCAAAAGTGTTACAGTAGATCCTAAAGCCACTCTTATCCTATTCAACAATGTGAAGCAACCAATTCGAATCGGTTCACGCGATTACGTAATATCTGGTAAAGCTGAAGAACTTGTTGCATTTTTTGAGTGTTTTGGAGATTACGATATCATCGGCTCTGAATTAAATTCAAATGGTAGCTGGCCTAACAATACAGGCCAAATAAAGATTGAGCTTCAAAATGTTTATCCCGGGGGTAGTAATTTCAAGAACACTCTTTTTGAAACCATGTTTGATATGGGTATGGACGCTATTCTAAACGCTATTTTTCCAGCAAGTCCAGGAAAAATTGCGAAAGCATACGAAGTTGGCAAGCTTTTGAAACCCGTTGCGGATTATTTGCCGTCACAATCTGAGTTTATAACGAAAGCAAAAGAAATTTTTAAGAAAACAATATCTGAAGATGAAAAGAAAAAAGAGATGCTAAATTGGTTAAAGACGCAAGACAATTCTACCAAGCAAATATGGAAAAAAGAGGAAAACGTGAATAACAAAGAAAAGCTTTTGATGTCTTTAGTCATGTATACCAAACCAGAAAAAACTGTACGTGCTACATACAACACCGGAATGTCTAAAATTTCAATGAAAGAAATCGCAAAGATTTTGAAATCTTTTTTTAAGATTTAATGTATATATGATTTAATTGAAATATGAGTTTTCTATGAGAGTCAGAGGCATACATAGGACCCAAAAAAAAAAAAAACTGTGCTTTGCGTTTGCTTATGAAAATAAAAACTCATACGCAAACTCAAACGCATTTTACGCATTTTACACGCGGTTATTTAAATAAATTGTGTTTACTTACGGAAACGCAATTCGTTCAAATAACCGCATGCATTTAAAACGCAACTTATGCATGTAAATGCGTTTTGAATATGAATGGCTATAGTCATAGTAATTAATAAAACACACATTCATAAATAAAAACTTCGTTTAACTTGAGAGCCTTTTATCAGAAATGCCAGAAAAAAGTAAAACCATTCTAGTTTACCATTTCATTCTTTTTATTTTATTTTATTTTTTTTTTACTTTTTTTTTAGGTGCTCTGAAAAGTTCTTACGTTCTTATCACAGAGTACCGCGGATGAGCATTTGATAGAAAGTTCACGTCTATTTTCCAACCGGTGTCGCTAAACTTGCCCAGAGGTGGGGTTTGAACTACGGATTCTTTGTTTCTGAGGCAAGTGCGCTACCACTGCGCCACGGTTGCTCAAACACGGCTTCTACACAGGAGCATTGTAGAGTTTTGCGCATGTTCATAAGATATACTGCTTTTTATGTATTTTTTGTACCAAGAAAAATCTTTTGGATAAATACTTCCTTTTACTTTATTTAGAAATTAGTTGGTCTTATGAAAAAAACAAAATGTCCTAACTTGTCACGTTAATGGTTTCAAAATTAATTTTAGGAACGATCAACGCTCACAGGTACTCTATGTAAAAAGTATGAATGCCTTTGACTTTGTTTTTATGTATAATGATTCAATCTTTTTACACATAAAAAAGAATAGCTTAATATGAGAATCAACCACACAAAAATTATGTGATTTTTTAATTTGTAATGACCCAAAAAACCTAAATCACATAATAATATATTTTAAAAGATGACTATTAGCACTTCCTTATAGCATAAGAATATTACTACAGGCATTTCTTTATGGTAGAACAATATGCAGCATATACATATATAGTATATATAACATTAATTTAGAAAACGAAACCAAATTTTACTTAATCTTTTCATAGATATATGTGATAAGGCTAATCATTCTCACAGGAGAAAAATCTTTAAAGAAAATATCCCAAGTGCTTAGGGTTCATAAATGCAAAATTAAAAGTTGGACTCACAACAGTTGCAGTTGCAGCTTTTTACTGAAAGTTTGTCTTTATCTAAATCTCAAAAAAAAAATTTAAAAAGAACAAGATCTGTCAATCAAAAACAGCAAAGTCTAATATGTAGATAACAAGTGGTGCAGCACAAGCGTTAACATCTTTAGCGGCAAAGTCCTAAAATAATAATTTAGCTACGAAGAATCCCTACTAACCAGCAAGAACCAAGATCAAGGTTTCAGGATAATAGTCTTTTAGCAAAGTTATTTGAAGAGTCGTGTAATTTAATAAACAAAATGCAAGAATATGGCCAAATAAAAATTTTTTTAAAAAAAAAGATTATTGTGAATTTAAAGAATGTATAAATTACTTTTGGTAATAAGTACTATATAGAGTATTATTTTTATTTGATTTAGAAGTAGAATAGAGCGGGGCTAGTTTGGCATAGGGGAAAGTTGGGCAAATAAAGTATCTCAGAAACTACGCATCACATTATAAAACATCTTTTTTTTATATTTACATTTTTTTATTTATAAAATATAAAATGGAATGGACTTTTTAATGATCTTTATTAAATAAAGACTTAAACAGACAGGCTCAAGGAAAATAAGGAAAAGATTGCGACGAACAGACTCAAGGAAAAGATTGCGACGAAACGTCGCAATCTTATCATAGACCCCCTTAAAAATTTTTGATAAAATATTTTTCGTTTTTATTTTAAACTAAAAATTGAAAACTAAAAAACTTTAAAAGTATAATAGTATTCTTTACTGCGCTAAAAATTCAAACAAACAAATAAGACAAAATAAAACAAACAAAGACAAAATAAAACAAAAGAAACAAAAAAAAAAGATCGAAAAGGACTGAAAAAATGATCAAGAAACTTCCGAATAAAGATATACACGAATATAAAAGTATTATAAAAAATATAAAATTTCAAGTTTTAAAAATTTCTGTTTTTGTTAGATACTTAAATGTCAATAAACTGCGCAACGCAAAACTTATTTAATAAGTACTTAAAGTAACTAAAGTAAAAAGTACGAAACTTATTTATAAGTAGGAGATTATTTTGCTCTTTTGTGCGGCGGTTTTTGCTGAACTTGCAAGGTTTTTTTTTTTTTTTTTTTTTTTTTAGTGTTGTATTTGCCGATTGAAAATAATTTACACTCGTAATTTATAAAAACAAATATTTACATGACTGGGGCTTGAAGAAGACAAAATCCATCTTATCATTAAGCCCCCCCAAAAAAATGCATATTCATCAAATTTTGGTTAAGTTAAATCAAAGGTTTGGTTAAGTAATATGATTTGTAAGAAATGTAAGATCTTATTAAGATTTGTAAGATTTATCTTAATTTTATAGTAACATTTCCAAGTTATAGTATGAATTCTTAGAAAGATTTGTAAGATCTTATAAGATTATTTTGTATTTGTTCCGATCATACTAAATTCCAAGCATAATTTTCGCGTAGAGAATATTATTAAATAAAACAATTAAATATTTTAATTAATTTTTTCTCGTAACAAATTCATAATTAATAATACAACAGTTCTCATTTTAATAATATAAATAATACTTATAAAATATAACACAACAAGTCACTTATGTAAGACTATTCCATACTGCATAGATACTTTAAATGAAAAAATTGTATTTTAAAACCTTAAAAAGAGAAAGTATTACCGACAAACTATAATAATACTCATAAACCTTAACCCTAACCCTAACTCTCACTTTTAACTAAACTTTTTTTAGGTGCTTACAAATCAAAACACAAATAACGAAAGTCAACTTTTTAATAAGTGATAAAACAAGGCAATATAAAATATTTGAACAGTTAAACTGCGCGCAGTTTAACTGTTCAAATATTTCTGTTTTTAATCAAATTTAAAAAATATCTCACTGATATTGTTTACAGCTGTGTCAACAGTCTGTTTACAAAAGCCCGTCATCCATTCAGAAGTTTTTGCGCTTAGAAGGAAATTTATCGCGCGGAATCTATTGTTTTGTGTTTTAATTAAAAAAAAATGGTTCTAAATCAAAGAAATCTACTTAAAAAAAAATAACTTTGCTGTTGATATTAAAAAATTTTATAAAGTGTACTTTGTTGAGAAATCGCAGGGAACATAATACGTGGATGCGTAGAATTTTTATGGAACGTTCACAGAAAGGTCTTTTTAATGTGTTAGTAAGGGATTTAAAGCTATTTGACAGTGAATACCTTTTTCAGAGTTTTCGGATGACTTCGCAAACTTTTGAAGTGATACTATCCTGGGTTGCTCCATTCATATCTAAGTCTTCCCTAAGACGGGCAGTTGCAATTGCTGAAAAAAGATTATGTATAGCATTAAGATATCTAGCTACTGGCGATGCTCAGATAACAATCGCAATAAGTTTCTGAATGAGCCCAACAACTATAGAAATAATTATCAAAGAAACATGTAAAGTAATTTGGAATGTTATGTGTAAAATAGGATATTTGTTAGCACCATCTTCCCAAAAACAATGGCTTGAAATATCTTCTGAATTCCACGAACGATTGAACTTTCCTAATTGTCTTGGGGGTAATAGATGGTTAAAAAATTCTTATTCTGACCATACAATTTTTCTTTTTTGGTAACTCTTTCAACCTGCTTGTTGACTTCTGTGGTAACTCTTTCAACCTGCTTGTTGACTTCTTTGGTAACACTTTCAACCTGCTTGTTGACTTCTTTGGTAACTCTTTCAACCTGCTTGTTGACTTCTTTGGTAACTCTTTCAACCTGCTTGTTGACTTCTTTGGTAACTCTTTTAACCTGCTTGTTGAATTCTTTGGTAACACTTTCAACCTGCTTGTTGACTTCTTTGGTAACTCTTTCAACCTGCTTGTTGACTTCTTTGGTAACTCTTTCAACCTGCTTGTTGACTTCTTTGGTAACTCTTTCAACGTGCTTGTTGACTTCTTTGGTAACTCTTTCAACCTGCTTGTTGACTTTTTTGGTAACTCTTTCAACCTGCTTTTTGACTTCTTTGGTAACTCTTTCAACCTGCTTGTTGACTTCTACAATAAAAAATCATCAGAGCCAGTTTTATTGTCAGCTTTATTTAGTTGTTGTAAACTTTCAACAAATAAGGTATCAATGACATTGATTGCTTTGGGTATTTTTTTATTGTGGCTTGAGCAAGATGTTGTATCGAGCTGTGAATTGGTGGAACTGCAACCAACTGGTTCTGCTAAATCTTTTTTTGTATGTAGTAAGTTCAATTTGAAACTCTAAGAATTGTAGTTGTTTGAAATATTTACATGTGGGCAGTATAGATGCTACTGCAACTGACCGTGTGGCTTTCTCTCGTATGTCATTGCATCGTTTAAAACTTTTTCGTAAACCTTTCCATGGCTTTTTCAGGGATTCGACTAAATTTGATATAAGTTAATTACAACAGAGTGAGTTATGTTAATAAAAAAACAAAAAATATAACAATAAAACTTAAAAAAAGGCACAACGTACTAAGGGTGGCATGAAGCATCAAAATATGTATAATCAGCTACTAAAACGTATATTGTTTGACCCATAAACGTAAAACTTATATAATTTTGCCAATTTATAATTAGATTTTATTATTATTATATAAAAAATATAATAGTAAGACTTTTAATAGTAAAACTTTTGAATTTTAAATTATAACAGTTTAAAAATTTTAAATTGTGTTAAAAAAGTTATCAAAAAAAAATCTTTAAACATAAACCAGAAAAACTAAGATTTTTCTCTGTAAACAATTTCCCTTTCTTTGAATGCAAGAAGTTAATTAACCTGTATAAGCACCACCAAGACTTTCATTAATCATTTCCCAAGCATTTTTTCTTTTATCATAGTCTTTATGCGAAGATAAAGCAGTATTCCATAAACAGGAGTATTTTTTAACATATTCAATAAACTCTTTATTGTCGATTTCGTTTATATTTTATTTTTAGAGTTATATTAACACTTTTTTTAATAAGTTCTTTAAAGCATATTAGTAAGGTTTTAATTATTGGTTGCGACAAAAACAATTGCTGTGAATTGTTTTGTTTTTGAAGCAAAGATAAAATATACGTTTGTTGTTCAGGTGATAAATTTTTACTTGCCAAATCATCATACTTAATAATTTCCATTTTGCTTTTATAGCTTTATAAAATTCAGAAATAAGTTAGTTGTGAAGTAAAATCTGATAAAAGTCTATTTATATAATATTCTTAACGTAATTAGTACTTTAATTATCCGTTTGATATATGTAAGTTATCATTAAATTTTCATATTATTACTGTTTGTTGCATTCATTGCTCAGCTTTGTTTTAATTTTCACATGCACATTTTTCATCTTTATTATTATTCAGAGAATACTTTTATATCCTTCATTAAATGTTTACATATATGCCGCTTACATTTTTAAGGTTTTTGTGCAACGTTCTTTTTCGCTATCATATATTATTTAATTATTGTTATGATTTTGAGTTTCGTGGGCTGCTCATTTTCCTACACTTTTGATTGGTTGTCATATTTCGAATGAGGTACCTATGACAGCGTTAGAGTTTATTTAAGGCTATTGTTGTTTTGTTGATAGAAAAAAAATTTTCTAATGAGGTATACTGCTTTCTGATAATAATACCTATTTGGTTTTATTTCTTAGAATAAATTTATGAAATTTTTTTTTTATGTGTCTATTAGAATTTTAATTTATTTTGTTTTCATGTTTTCTTTTGGTGGTATGTTAAGTTTTTTATTTTTTTATTTTTATTTTTGTTAGTTCAGTAAATCTACACTTTTTATATCACATCATCAAAAAAATATTGGTGCTTTACAAATTTGGGGTTGGTTGGGTTTTGGCTATTTGTAGTGAGTCCTTTTTTACTGCAGTATTAAGTAGGCGTAAGTCGCGGGGTAAAGCATAAGTGGCGATGACGTTTGTCTGACGGGATAAACTAGCTATAAATGCTTCTTCGTTATAATGATATAATGATAAATAACTATATAATGATAAATAACGATATAATGATAAATAACTAGTTATAAATGCTTCTTCGATCCTCATCGAAACGCCAGTAAAATTAGACGCGACTCTGAGGAGATGTTTATTACTTAACTACTACACAAATTATGTTTAAACATTAGCACTAATGTTTTTTTTATTATCAAATGCCTTTCATTGGTGTTATCATATTTTTTATTTTGTGATCGGTTTTATGTTTTATAAGTTTTTGTCTGGTGACCTCACCACGAAGATATACCTTATCTTCGTTCATATTGGTGTTTATAAAACAATTTTTTTTTCTTTAAATTTATTTTAATTGTTATTATTGTTGTGGGTGTATAGCCTGTCTTATTTATTTTTAAATAAACCTCTATTAATCTTTATTTTTGTCTTGACAACTGTCAAAATATGCTTTGTCTAATAAATAATTCTTCTTTATTCTAATATACTTCATTTCTTCCTTGAGGCGTTTACTGCTCGTGTGTGACTATTTGGCGAATTTTATATGCCAAAGTTTTAAAATTATATAGTATTCTTAACGTAATTAGTACTTTAATTATCCGTTTGATATATCTAATTTAGCATTAATATTTCATAAATTGCATAATTGTGAAATGTAATCAAGTATACCAAGTATACGTGTTAATGTTTTAAAGTTTCTTTTTAAAAAAAAAAACTTTTATTTCTTGTACCATGTGACAGTTTTCTTGGTTTCCATTGGATAATACTATAGGAGCATACAACTTTCCGCTAAAAAGCTCACCATTGTCGAGCTTATTTTTTCCTGCAACTTTCATAACAATTTTCCGCAAGTTTTTTTAATTAATATAGTGAACTCATTAAGTAGCTTTCCGCAAGGAAAGTTTCAAGAAAAGCTGAACGGAGAATAGCCTTTAAGAAAGCAAAAGTTATTATTATTATTAATAATATTTTATTAATCACCCTCTGTAAAATATATTTACAAGGTAAATCCACAAACTAAGAAAAAGAGATTAAAAAAAAGTATTATTTAGAAATGTTTTCTTCAAGTGTCTTTTTAAAAATTGTTTGCTGTTCTTTTACATTCCAACATTGAACCGCGTGTACCAAAATATGAAGAGTAGCTTCAGGAATTGCTTCAAAATATGAAAGAAATCAGAAAAATCAGAAAGTTCGTTAAACCAAGTTTCAGCAATTAATTTCAGTAATTAAATGCAGATTAAATCTGGAAAAAATGCCTTATGGTGTAACACAATTCGTCTATTTTATTATAAAAACAAGTTAAATCAGGTTTTAAGCCTGGCTTAAATTTATTTTTTGGTTTATGCGGCACTTTGTTTTTAAATGAGGGATATTTGTTTTCAAATCTTTCAACAGATAATCATAAGTAAACTTATTAAATTAATTTACATTGTTTGAGTTAGGATAATTATAAAGTTTTTCTTGTTGAAAATTTGATGATGTTGTTATTACAAATCCCATATCTATAATATTTTATTTTTTAAAAGTTAATTACGTTCATCCATTATTCGAAAAAATTTCGTTGAGTTGGCGTTACAGGGTTATTCGTTCTTATATGCGCGTCTATTCATTTTTATATGCGCCTTTATTCATTCTTATATGCGCATTTATTCATTTTTATATGCGCCTTTATTCATTCTTATATGCGTTTTACAAAAGCAATTGTAAAAAAGCAATTTGAACAAAAAAAAATCATTTAAGCAATTTGTTTTGAAAAAACTGTTTATTTTTTCAAAACAAATTTTTCTTATTTCCAGGTAAACGAGGTTAAAAATACTTAAAACGAAGACTTTTTACATTTGATGATGGTTTATTTAATTTAGTATTGTTCTTTGTAATTTTATTATTAAATTTCTTGATTGATTAAGTTATTATTTATCTAATTATTCATTTATCTAGATTTAAATTTAATTATTTATAATTATTATTAGTATCAAATTATACATCCTTATACAAATTATACATCCTTAATTTATCGAAGCGCACAGTTCAAAATCTTGTCGTTAAGTTAAACAGAAGATAATTCGACGACATGACTGCATTCAAATCGTTTTCTGATAAAAAACGAGGTAAAAGACCTATAAACTCTCAAATAAAAAATATTCTCGAATTATGCGCACAAGAAAACAATCTTTGCACGCAAGAAGCAATAAAAAAAAATCTTTCTGCAGCAGGCTTTAACATGTCTCAGCCTGCTATTTCAAATAAACTCAAACGCTCGGATTTATCAGGAAAATGTGTTGTGCATGTGCCGAAGAACGATACTCAACACCAGTTATTAATGCAAGCTATGCATTAGCAAGCGAAATAAACGGAATTTCAGATAAAAAACTTATTTATTTGGATGAAACTAAGTTTAATGTGCACACTAACAGCACATGGTTGTTTGTAATGGTTGTTTGCTAAGAGGTACGCCAGCAATTTTACAGTCCCCTCCAAATCGTGGTAAAAATGTTAGTTTAATTTGTGCTGTTTCAACAATGGGAGTACTTGCTTATAAAATAAAAACTGGAGGCTGGAATGCAGATTCATTTTGTACTTTCATAACTGCAATGATGGAACCAGCGATTAGGAATGCAAAGGTTGAAGCGCCGGTGCTTGTTATGGACAATTGTAAATTCTACTGGAGTCTTTCTATTAGGCAAACACTAACCTCTCATGGTATAGCTATTAAGTATCATATTACATGGTATAGCTATTAAGTATTATAACTATTAAATAATTAAATTTAAATAGATAAATAATAACTTAATCAATCAAGAAGTTTAATTATAAAATTACAAAGAACTAATACTAAATTAAATAAACGAAAACAAAGAGCTATACTAAATTAAATAAACCATTGTCGAATGTAAAAAGTCTTCGTTTTATATATTCTTAACCTCGTTTACCTGGAGATAAGAAAAATTTGTTTTGAAAAAATAAACTGTTTTTTTCAAAACAAATTGCTTAAATGATTTTGTTCAAACTGCTTTTTTCAATTGCTTTTGTAAAACGCATATAAGAATGAATTAAGGCGCATATAAAAATGAATAAATGCGCATATAAGAATGAATAAAGGCGCATATAAAAATGGATAAATGCGCATATAAGAATGAATAACCCTGTAAGTCATAGTTTATATCTGGGCCGTACCGAGCCAACTTTGCGTTTATGGCAAGAAATGAAAATTGCGCCCCTCCCCCTAACCGCTCAAAAAAAAAATTAAAATTAAAAAACAATTTGATGATCACAAAATTTATCATATCAAGTGTAAATTACAATTTGTCATGAATACCGCACAAACTTCAGTTTAATTTCACTTTTCTAGTTTTTTTGGATGCAAATTCACTAATGACGTCATCAAACTCAAGGTTGTCAACAACTTTATGTTCAATTGAAACTATAGCCAAACTAGACAAATGTACTTGGCCGATAGTTGATCTCATGTAGTTTTTTAGAAGCTTAAGTTTACTGAAACTTCTTTCATACGTAGCAACTGTGACTGGTATGGTTAGGAAGATGCGAATAGTAATTGTCGTGTTAGGATAAGCATCAGTCAATGAATATTTATAAATGAGCTGCAAAATGTCAATTGGGCTAGATTTTTCAAAATTGTCTATAATTGCAGCAGCTTGATATTTAAAACTTACCGTTTCTGACTAAAAATCAGAACAATTTGTCGTGTAAATCTGAGGTAAGTTTTTGGCTTTTGTCTTAAATTCATCCTCTAAACTTTTAGATAGTGAACGCCCACAGAGGAAGTCAAAGGATACAGGAGGCATAGACTCAAACCGTCATTCAATTTGTGTAATAATGCTGTCAAACACAAGATTGCACTTTGATTCGAATTCTTTTTCTGCTGTGAGGAGATGAAAGTCGTCTTCAGCTTCATAAAGTGCCATCCTCTTTACTTTGCACTTCCTCTTGACTGGAAAATTATCTTTAATTCCATTCTGTTTAGCTGTTTCTGCGGCATCTTTAGTAATTTCTGAATGGAATCCTTCAATCGTTTCATTTTTTTTTTTGCTGCAATGTCAATTGAAACATTTTTATATTAAAGCAATTTGATTTCCCAGCCAATTAATAAAAGAATTTAACACCAAAAATCCAACAAACACTAAAAACTTAAATCAACTTGAATGATAAGATCTTTTGCATTGCATATTGTGACATTATTCGTCATGGGATTGTGGATAATAGACTTAAAAACTTGAAAAACTTCTTTATTTGTTTGTGCAATGGTGTGGTTGCTTCTTTATTGGCAGACCACCTTGTGTCACTGTTTTTCTTTAATAAGATGGCAATTTTCATTAGTGCTTTCCATCTTAATGTGAACTTGAAAAAAAGTTAAAGATGGCTTGAACTTTTCCAAAAACTGTAATCATGAGTGGGGAAACCTCAGCAGCATGAACCCCAACAAGATTTAAAGTGTGGGCTGCACACTGGAACATATCTTGCTGACTCACTAAGAGAACGGATGTGAACTTGGATGCTATTGTACTTTCCAGACATATTTGCTCCATTGTCATAACCTTGGCCGCGGCAATCAGAAATTTTTAGACCGTCTTTCTCTAATTTTTAAGTGATCTCTGTTGCAAGACTTTTTCCAGTTTTTGGTGAGATTCAATGAAATCAACAAAGCTTTCCTCAATTGTACAGGTTTCATCATTGATATGGACATACCTAATTATTTGGGTCATCTGCTCTTTATGGGAGGAATCTGGAGTGCAGTAAAACAAAACAGAAGAGTTAACTTCTTTGATGTTTGACAAAATTTCATTTCTGACTTTCTGCCCAAGTAACTCAATGAACTCATTTTATATTCAAGGAGAAAAGTAGGACGTTGTAGTTTTCTTTGCTTTAACAGATGCAATGTGTTCAGCCACTAAAGGATAATAATTGCTTTTTAACTCAATCAAGTTCAGAAAAAATGTTTTGTTGACCGATGACTTCTGTTGTGCCTCAACGGGCAAGATTGTTCCTAGCACAGAACAAAATTACATCAATAATCACTTTCAAGACGTCTCTCCGCTTTTTCATTTCTCCATTGATAACTCTCTGCAAATCAGAATCCATAGCCTTTCCTTTTTCGAGGTTTTTTTCAAGATTTTCCAATCAGAATGCATCTTTGGTGTTCATTGCTGTTTTCATGTTCAGGAACTCTTGGGTTTAGTTTTTTTCAGCCACAAAGTCCTTTTGAAATTTCTGAGAAATGATTGGTTTTTGCTGTTGAAAATAACAAACAGCAAAAACAAAACAATGAATCTTTTTTATTGCTGTACAGCAACCAATGGCGAACAAATTTGTCACTATTGGAATGAATTTTTTGATACAATTTTGTGCTGAAGTTTCGCTTTCTGCTGTCAAAATCACACAGTATGTATAAGAAAAATAGTCTTCTTTCTTGCTCTGACCTATGTTTAGTCATAAAGCATCTTATGTTGTCCGTTTGTTTAGGCCACGTTGCTGGATCCTTGTATTGAAAGTTTTTTCCTAAAGTTAGCGGAATATCTGATATTTCTGAATGAACTTCATGTGATCCATTTCAACCCGGTCAGAAAGTTGGGAATTTCCTTACTCTCTTATTATTTCTGAATTATTTGTGCGAAATTCTTCTTGACTTTGGCTAATGAAAATCTCCTCTTCTATTAATTCCAAATTATTATCTGAACTTAAGTCATTAATTTGAACTGTTTGAAAAACTTTAGTTGATAATTGATAAACATACATGTTTTAACTAAGTTTTGAAAACTAATAATGCGTTTTTTGCAATCTAAAAAATGATCTTAATAAAATGTGGTTTTTCCTTTTTTTTCTTTTTAAAGATTTTGTAAAATAATTTAAAGTTATTTCTTATGATGAGACTTTTCATTTAACTGTCCCATCATAATTAATAACTTGAAATCATTTTACAAAATCGACTGTAGAAAATATGGACAGTGTCCATATAGTCTCAAAATATAACAAATATAAATAAAATTAATATTGAATGAACTGAATAAAAAGAAGATAGTTTTAAAAATATATATAAACTATTTTAGAGTTAAAGGGCGCTCTTCTAGTGCAGAAGAGCGCCCTTTAACATAAACTCCAACTTGTAAAACATAAACTAACATAAACTTCAATTTATAAAAACTCATTTACTGATTAGATCTGTTCAGTAAATGAGTTTTTATAAGTTGGAGTTTATGTAAAGAGGCGCAATTTTAATTAATTTTTTTATCAACTTCAATTATTTTTCTTTTATTTATTTATTTAGATATTAATTTTCTTTTATTTATTTATTTTTTTAATTTAATTTACTTTTAATTTATTTTTCGGGAACTTTGCGCCCTCCCAGATTTGGCACCTCGGGCCGCGGCCCGGCTGGCCTCACTCTTTGTACGGGCCTGTGGCCGTATTCTCACCTCTCCGTTAAGCTTAAAGGAGCGTTTGTCTAAAATTTCTTTTTAACTACATTATCAAAAAAATTCTTTAAAAGTATGATTTTTTAAAATAAAATCGTTTTATTTTAGTATAAGTATTATTTAAACAAATTTAAATAAAGTTTATGTCATTTTTTGACTTATAAATATTGTCATGAAATTTTATATAAAAGCTCCGTTAAGCTTAGCGGAGAGATGAGAATGCGCCCACTGGTTTATATAAACATTTTTGAAGTTATTACTTTTTCTTAATTGCTTCGCTGTTTTAATTACCACAATGTAATCATCTTTGCTTTGAAGTTTGACTAATATCGGGCTAATCTTTTTATTATTTGTATTTTTTCTAAAACGATGAATTCTTACAATTTTAAAGCTATCAGCGCCAATCTCCTCAAACACTTTTAAAACAGCTCCTTTATCATCCAATTCTTATTCCTTAATATCAAGTTTGTTTGACTCCGTTATGCCAAATATAACAAAATTTTTCTTTACGTTTTATATCATTTTGCTCAACTGTCAATGCACTAATAACATCAACTGCATGAACGTTAGGTTTATTTTCCATTTTGAAAAGGCTATTAAAACTTTTTATTGGATTTTCTTCTGATATTGTAGAATTTTTTTCTAAATTCTCGACCTTTTTCTTTGATGCGTTGTTTTCAACTTCAATTGAACTAATTTATCTTCCAAAATATTTAATCTGCTGTTGATGTTCTTTGATGATTTCTTCTTGCAAATTTTCTACTTTTTCGACATGTTTCATTAAGTAAGCAAATTCAGTTTTTAAACCATTTTTTCAACCAAGTAAATACGATAAATAAATTTCAAAATTTTTCAAATAGTAAAAACGCGTCCTCTAACTACGTAGCGTGCGTGCTAACTGTTAACTAAATTTTGTTTTTTTCATAAGGCAAACTAATTTTTTAGTAAAGTAAAAAGGAAACGATGCTAAAAAAGGTTTTTCTTGGTCCAAAAATACATAAAAAGCAATATATATTATGGGCATGCGAGAAACTTTAGAATGCTCCTGTGAATGATTTTTTTATAATTTTTTTATTTTGTTATTTAGGTGTTCCAAGAAAACCTAACGGTCTTATCACAGAGCACCGCGGAAGTGCATTTAACCAGGAAGTTCAAGCCTCCTTCCTTACCGTGAAGCGAAAAATGTTCAGAGTTTGTTTCGAACCTGGATCTCCTGCTTCTAATGCAAGCGCTCTAATCACAGCGCAACGGCCGCACAAGGATAAAAAGGTAAAATAGAATGGCTCCACGTAATTTCCGTCATTTCTGATAAAAGGCTCTCAAGTTAAACGAAGGTTTTATTTATGAATGTGTGTTTTACTAATTAATATGACTATATAGCCATTCATATTCGTACAAACAAATGAATACAAGTAAATAAAAAGATAAACACTTCTGCCTTGAAACCAGTTTCAACGTAGAAATAAAGAAGCTCTTGGATTTTTCATGGTTTATATTGTCAGAGATAGTGAGGGGAATCCAATTGGTGATCACGAAAAATAATTTCTTTTTTTAAGTGAGTCTGGGAATAATAAAATATTTCAAATTTTAAATTTATTTTTGCTGCTATATCGCCAAAATTTAGAAGCCTTCTTTTACGCCCGTATTTTTCATATTTAAGTATCAAATTTGTATTTGGTATTTGAATCTGATTTTCTTTTATAAATACGACTTTGCTTACTTTATCTTACTGATAATGGTATTTATCTAAAAATAACAGATTTCAATTTCAGATTTTTAACTAAGAAGTTTTTCTTCAGTTGAAGAACTTATAATTTTTCAAAAATTATTTATAAGGCTGCTTTATAAATAATTATGATGCTTCATAATGAAATAGATTATTTATCATCATCAACATAATATTATTAATAGAATTTAGCAAAGAAACAAAGATATATAATTGTACGTCTCGAAATTGAAAATATATTGCGATATTTTTATAGGATTGATTTTGAGTCTATTATTAATCCCTAAGTCTTATTTAAAAAAACAATTTTAATGGATTTTTTTATCTTACAATTAATAACAAAACAAAAGTAGCTACTTAATAATAGTTTATGTTCTCTTTTAAAGAGAAATATTTTACATTTTCAAAAAATATACTGCAGAACACCGCATCCATAAGCATAAGATGCGTTTTAAACGCGATTATTTGAATAAATTGCGTTTCCGTAAGCAAACGCTATAAAATGCGTAAAATGCGTTTGAGTTTGCGTATGAGTTTTTATTTTCACAAAATACAGTTTTTTTATTGCGGTCCGATGTATGCTTCGGACCCTTATAGAAAACTCATATTTAGTTTAAATCATATATACATTAAATCTTAAAAAAAAGTTTCAAAATATTTGCGATTTCTTTCATTGAAATTTTGGACATACCGGTGTTGTATGTAGCACGTATAGTTTTTTCTGGTTTGGTATACATGACCAATGACATCAAAAGCTTATCATTCTTTTTTATGTTTTCCGGTTTTTTCCACATTTGCTTGTTAGACTTGTCTTGCTCTTTTAACCAATTTAGCATTTCTTTTTTCTTTTCATCTTCAGATATCATTTTTACATAAATTTCTGTCGCTTTCTCTATAAAATCAGATTGTGACGGCAAATAATCCATAATGGGTTTCAAAGCCTTGATAACTTCGTATCCTGACGCATAAACTTTTCCTGCTGGACTAATAGTTTTTAGAATAGCGTCCATACTCAAATCAAACATGGTTTCAAAAAGAGTATTCTTGAAATTACTATCTCCGGGAAAAATATTTTGAAGCTCAATCTTTATTTGGCCTGTATTGTCAGGCCAGCTACCATTTAAATTTAATTCAGAGCCGATGATATCGTAATCTCCAAAACACTCAAAAAATGCAACAATTTCTTCAGCTTTACCAGATATCACGTAATCGCGTGAACCGATTCTAATTGGTTGCTTCACTTTGTTGGATAGCATAAGAGTGGCTCCAGGATGTACTGTTACACTTTTGGTATTTTCATCAAAGTTAGGGTAACCGTATGTTTCAAGAGGTGAATCAATTTTACCACTTGGCACCTAAGAAAATGATTTATTTGTTTTTTAATTGTGCGAGCAGACATAACACATAACACATGTTAAATAATTGTTTATAGTTGAAGAACTAAAAACTTTGCTGCAATGAAAAGACGGGAAATAAAATGAAGACGACTAAGTTTAAGTAAAATAAATATAATCCAAAAAAAGACTTCGACGACGTTAAGTAAGTTTTGTAGATAAAAAAAAAAGTTATTATATTTTTTAGGATACTAAATGCGATTTACAAATAGTTCTAAGCCTCATCAGGGGTAATGTAGTTTGATTTTAAACAATACTCTTTTCAATTATTATTTATGAAAATATTTATGTAGACAAATCTGAAAGGGGTTGTTACTTGAAAAATGACTTAAAAATGATAAAAACTTAAAATATAAAATAATCACTTAAAATGATAAAAAGACATACCTCATTAGATTTTTTTTTATCTTCACATTTTTTTTTTTTTGTTTCAAATTCTGAATCGAACTTTGCCAAGATATCTGATACGAACGATCTTGAAGTACTCTTTTCTTTGATATCGCTACGCCGACAATTGACAGCAAATGTAGCAACAATCAACACAACCAAAGTAAGCAGTTTCATTGCAGCCCTAATATAATTTATGAAATAATTAAGTTGATTAATTTAATTTTTTTAATGCGTAAGTATAAGGTATTTGAGTGAGTATAGTGAGTACAGTGTAATATGTAATGTGTTTGAGTGAGTAGAGTGTAAGGTGTTTTTTAAACAACGTGTATGTTTTTAAAACAAAGGTTAAGAACAATACTAAACAAACTTCAGGAAATTTCCAAGAAGTCTGTATGTTTTCGTAAAAAGTACCAACATGTGAGTATTTGGAATGACAAAGCCTGACACATGTTTTTGGATGACTGATTTTGATTTTTAAATCCTTGTCAGGAATACAAAGTTATTCATATCTATTCAATAGAAAAAGAAAATGATCTAAAATAGATATATGTCTTCCTCCAAAGGTAAGTTGTGTAAGAGTTAATAGAAGATGTACAATTTTTTTAACAATTGTTGTCAAAATTTTGAACTAAGTAAAATCTAAAAATATATTTTGCTTTTTAAACTACGTCTTTTAAATCACGTGACGTCACGTCTTTAAAATTTATTTTATAGTATAAGCATACTATAATGCAAACAAAAATAAACTAAAACATCTTCATCTATTTGTTTTAAATGCTTATAGACTGGCAAGATTCACTCATAGATTGACTAGATTTACTCATAGAATGGCCAGACTCATTCATAGATTGGTCAGACTCGCCAGACTCATTCATAGGTGGGCAGTACTTGAATCGCTCTTAAAACACCTTTGTAATATTTAGACAAAAACTTATCTAAGCAAAGAAATTACTGTATTTGTTTTACTCCCCAGTCTAAAAATATCTTTCCACGCGTCAAATTTTTGACGTGATATACCCACTACGCAATAACAATATTTAATCAAATCACTCAAATAATCCATCGTGAGTAGTGATCGACCGAAGCAGAAATTATGCTAAAACCACAATCAACTGAAACTACGGTTAAACCAATACACAGCCTAAACCGACATCTCAGTATATATTTTACCGAAACTAGTACTAAAATTTTGGCTAAACCGAAAAAATTACTTAAGAACCGTGGTCTTTACGTGCATAATAAATTAATTCCAAAAAATACCTCAATATCTCTAATAAAAACTTAACCCAAAAAACTTAATCTATATATATATATATATATATATATATATATATATATATATATATATATATATATATATATATATATATAATATATATATATATATATATATATATATATATATATATATATATATATATATAAACCCTTAATCAGAAGCATTCATTACATTAAAAGACCAGAAAAACAACTTTGAAAATCAAAAGCCTTGCCGCCTATTAAATCCATCAAAAATTGAACTCGTTGTTGTCAGCAAAGCATACCTAGATAAAATCAACAAGGACTTAAAAAATAAATTAAAACTAAACCAATGGAAAAACACCGCAGAAGTAATCAAATGGTTTACAAGCATAAGCGACAAGCAACATTGGTTTTTATACAATAAATTTTACTCATGGCCTACTATAGTGGCAGGCCTAATAAACATACTGCTAAAAAAAATACTGTGGGCGAGTTTTAATTTTATAAATTTCCAGTAATATGGCACATTTTAAAAAAAGAACGTGGTTTTTCATTTAATATGCAATGCTTTTTATTTATATTAATTTTGCTTTCTTTTTAGAGCTAAATAATTAATTTTGAAGAATAGGCTTTTAAGTGTTGTATCACTGGGTGCAGAGATAACTACGATGTTGCATAGTCTGTAAAAGCTTTTCGCTTTCCAAATAAAAAAAATACGGATGAACGAATAAGATGCATAAGTGCTTTTTCCGGCGCTACTGCAGTTTTTCCCCCTGCCCCCTTTTTTTTTATTGCTGATTATGATATAGAATGCTAATTAAGAATCGTATAAAAACATTGTATAAAATTGTATAAAAACATAGGTCTGAAAATAACAGAAAGTTCTCTAATTTGATGTTGAAGTTTAAAAAATTACAGTAAAAAAAGCTAATATTCGCCATACGTTGTACATCAAAGTTTACATTTTAAAATCGAACATATTTTTTATTGTCATCAAAATAAATATACAATTAAATTAAATGTTTTCATAAATGTATATTATACAACTTTAATTATTATTTTTTTAAATTAATTCAAATATTGCTTTTTAAATGTACATAAATCAACTGAAAAATAGGGATTGGCGCGATTGAATGTACTTACATCGACTGACAAATAGGGATTAGCACAACTAAATGCATATACATCGACTGACAAATAAGGATTGGCTTGATTAAACGTCCATGATTTGGGACAGGGTTAGGGTTTGGGTAAAGGATAAATCAGAAAATGATATGCTTAGCATTTTTTAACAGTTTTGCATTAAAATGTTGATAGAAACCAGGCTTTTAAAAATCATTTTCGATCAGGTTTTTAATTATAACCGAGAATGAAAAAAATGGCAAATATTAGCGTTTTTTAGTGTAATTTTTTAAACTTCAACATCAAATTAGAGCACATCCTGTTGATTTTCAGACCAATGTTTTTTTACGATTCTTAATCAGTATAAAATTCTATATCATAATCAGCAATAAAAAAAGGGGTAAGAAACTGCAGTAGCGCCCAGGGGGGCCCCTTTTCCTACTTCATAATATCAAGTATTAATAAAAACTGTAAAAAAATAAAAAATGATTTATCCTTTGATAGCTATCTTTTTAGTTTTAAGAGCACCATAAAACATTTTTCTTACAATCATATATATTCATATGATTATATTGACTGCATTAGCCATAAAACATTTTTCTTACAATCATATATATTCATATGATTATATTGACTGAATTAGCCATCTCCATGCTGCAATACACTATCTGAATTCTTTACCAATCGATCCTAAGAAAAATATTATTATTGAACACATGTTAAGTATGAACTCATTTATGTTTATTGGTGAAAAAAAGTATTCCCCTGATATGGTTGCTAGGGCATTTGAGTACTTTTCATTGTCAAGAACTCTTTACTCTCGATTGTCACGTACAACTACGAACCAAGTATATCTTTGATGACAAAGTTAACATCTAAAGTTTGAAATATTGGTAATGATGATTTTTTAAAGTTGTATTTAAAAAAATGTTCTTTATGTAAAAGACAGTTTATTCTATTAATAGGTGAAATTTATGTTAAACCACTGTTAAAATATCAAGAAGGTAACAAATTTGGTAAATCTTGGCAAAGTTAGTTTTGGGTTTAATGATTTGTTCTTTATTTGGCAGAAAACAGTTTTTGTATAAAGCATTACCAGTAACAGTTTTAGATGCTAATTTTTAATATGATCAAACAGTGCAAACAATTGAAGCGATAAAAAAATGTGGTGGTTCTGTTTTTGCTATTCTTTGCGACAATAACAAAATAAATAAAAAGTTTTTTGGAAAACTTGGTGTACTATTGATTAAATTTTACTTAGTGTACTGATGATTAAATTTTCCTTCTGTTCATTTATTCATTTTTATTTTTTCATGATTATGTTTTTTCATTTGTTCATTTAATAAAATCTATTCGGAACAATTGGCTCACAGAAAAATCCCAAAAACTATACTTTACTTACAAAGGTATTTCAAAAACTGCAAAATAGTCAGATCTTAAAAAACTTTTTCTATTTGAAAAAGATGCTATTGTGAAACTTTCTAAACTTAATGAAATTGGTTTTTCCTAAACCAATTGAACGTCAAAATGTGTCAACTTGTTTAAATGGTTTTTGTGATAAGACTGTAGCTGCTATAAAAACTCATCCATCCATAAAAAATGTCGAAGACACCACAGTATTTTTATCTATTTTTTTCAAATTTTTTTGAATTGTTAATGTTAAAGGACTTTATGAAGATATTTGTACTAGAGATATATGTCGTGCTATTTTTTCATTAAGCAATGATAAACGATTGAACTTTCTTTTAAATTTGGCTAATATGGTTGAAAAAATGGCCCCTAAAAAACAAGGTCATAGACTAAAAAACTTAACCAAAGATACTTCTCTTGCTTTTTCGTGGTCGTGGGATGATTGAACTAGAAAAACATTAACTACAAGTCATAAGTACGTTTGCCTTGGACATTTTACTAGTGACCTTATTGAGAAAGCATTTTTAAAATTTCGGCAAAGATCAGGTGGTACCTATTTTATAAATGTTCAGCAAATATTACAAAAAGTCGACATTTAAAAAACAAAACTTTGTCTAAATATTGGTATCACTGCTAATGATTTTGAAGTATCATCAAGCCATTTGTGTGACAAATGTAATTATGTATTGCAAGATGATATTTTGTTCAATCTTCCAGTTATTGAAAGCAATTTGTCTAAAGAAATTAAAATGTCTTTGGTTTACATTGCTGGCTATGTCAATAGGGAAGATCCTCCAGTTGAAGATATATCATTTTGCTTTGAGCAGTTTTGAGATTATGTCAGAGAGATTATTTATAGTGGTTTAGGTTTGCGTGGAGATAACATTTGCCATTGGATATTTTATTCATACATTTTATTTCATCACTTTTGTCTGTCGTGTTAGCTTATCGAACTGTTTTTTGATGGTATCTGATTTTTATGGATTTACCAATGTTTCAAAAAAACATTGTAGATCTTCAAAGGAACCCAAAACCCAAAAGATCTTCAAAGGAACCCATTCCGCAATTTCCCAAAATGAGAATTTTGAAGTTATTTTAAATGTAAAATATATATAAAATATATGCAAAATATCTTTTCGGGGGAATTCATTTAATTGTTACGAAAATCTTTATTTATGACTTGCATATAAACCATTTTTTATAAGAAATTAAAAAAATAGCCGTATAGTCGTATTTCATAAAAAACTCGCCTACAGTTTTTATAAAAACCGTACGTTTACTCGGCCTATCATTATAGTAGACCATGATTTTACCCATCAATCAAAAATGACATATTAAACAACGCTTTAATATTTGCAAAACAGCACACTGAAATCAGCAGTGAAAAAATTCGAGTCATAATTTATT